AAAAGTTACTGTTCTGCATAATGATACTTTAAAACTGTTAGGAATAGCGGTAACTGATAAAACATGCAAAAAACCTCTCAATTCAGTGATCTATGAGGAAAGCACTAAAAAGCAAAGTGAATAATTGACTGAAGTGTCGTACCCTGCAATTAAAGGTTCCTCTTTAATTGGTGAAATAGTTGAAGTTGGAAATTCTCTCTCGACTGTAGGTCGGAAATTTGAATATGACGGTGATATCCACTTTGACCCATGCTGTTTACTATCGTCCGGTTCTAATTTTGGTAATGGAACTTCGACCGTCTCCGTTTGTGGCAACAGCTCATCTGCTGCTTTGTATAGCACAGTTGTTGACATCAGGCCAGAAATGTCGTTGTTGATGGTATCATGATTTGCACTGTCTTTTGACGTGTCACTGTCCCCACCCTCACTTGATTTATCTGGAAGATCCGAGTTAACACTGGCTGCCAACACTTCGTTTTGATTGTTGTCCAGATCGATTAAACTTTTTTCTTGGCCGTAAGAGGGAGGTACATCTGCATCTGCTGGCACTTGTTTTTTGAAAAAAGTCTTTGTCGCTAAAAGAGATGTAGAAGGGACGGACTCAGGAGGACCGAGTGATGGCTGTTTATCTGGTTCATCTCTTTTGCTTAGATAATCATTAAACGTTAGTGGACTCCTGTATGATGAACTGTTGCTATTTTCATAGGTTTTAGGTGAATAGGTGAACTGCGGTGAAGTTCCCGTTAGGGGACTGGCACTGCGAAGTGAAATATTTGGTGTTATTAATGGTGCATCAACTGGCTTTGTGCTACGAGGTTCAGTTTCGGGAACTGTTAGCATACCTTGTAAACAAAGCGGGCGTCTGAAAAAGAATTAAAATTTCTTTCCTACTGTGCTTGATTCTTTCTTTTAACGGACCAAATGCTGACGCTAAAATTAGAACCATTCTTTTGTAAAAACAGCTAGCCATTCAACAGTCTAAATTCGTTTTTCTGAAAGGCAACTTGCTTTTTTAAAACAAAGATTACAACGAACTACGGATGATCTAAGCTGTAATAGCGTTTGATGACCTTATTCTTACTTTGCATTACTTGATAAGCACAAAATTTACTCTTTGGAAATTCGTGATGTCAAACCGCCGTAAAGTGGTTCGTCGTGTTCCCAAGCAAATACGCTAACGTAGGTTTCCTTTTTTTTGGATCGTTTTTGTGAAACTTTGGGTCGCCGCTGCACATTTTCATAGTCGTTGGATCCGCTGTCGCCGTGAAAACCCGAATCGTTGCTACTGGGCGATTGATTCTGTTGTGTTTCATAGGCGCTTGGAGCTGACAGCGAGTTATTGCTTGTGTCTATTTGTACTGCCATTTCTTCACCTTCAACAGCCACAATAGTAATAGTAATAATAATTAACAATAAATTTGGCTAAAGTTTATTTAATTTTTATTAATATCACAATTATTTGTTGATTTACTTATTTTGCTTTACTGGAGCATCATAGTATAATAGCACTATACATAGAGGGCATTAGTAGCTGATAATTGTCAGTTGTATGTTTCTGAACAAATATAACGTCAAATTTGAAATTCTTATTGAACGTCACAGTGCTTTGGAAATGTATATTTGGAATTTGACAAATTGTTTAACCGACGCTAACAACCGATCGTCGATATGTCAAAGAAAATCAAGATTATATAGGCAGAACACAGAAGAGATGATGAAAAGATCGGGATTTTAGTGAAACGTGCACAACTCCAAACAGCTACGGACAACGACACTGATACGGAGACATGGAACGAGAGGCACATACAGACACAGATACAGGAATGTATTAAAAAAAAAAGATGTGATTTTGATTCTAAGTAGCAAAAAAAAAAAAAAAA